CTCTCTCTCTCTCTGTCGAATAAATAAATAAAATCTTAAAAAAAAAAAAAACCAACAAAAAACAAACCACTGGCTCTGTGCCCTCTCCTATGAATCTCATAGACCTTTAGTGCATGTGGGCCTTTAAATAATAAAGCTTAACACTGTACTTAAGGAGCTGGTCTGCTTAAATCATAAATGTGCACACTAGTTGTTTGCCAGTAGTTAAGATGCTACTTGTACACATTTAATCACCATTTTCACAAACATTGTCTTAACTAAAAGTTTCTATCAACAGGAAGTCCTAGAATTATAGTGTATGAGCCCCAAAGATTTGGAGAATATCACACACCCTTCTTGGGTGCCTGAGAATGGGGTCTTAATCATGGCCAGGCTGCATGCACATTTAGGTCAGGCCCTGTCTGCGCATCTTTATATGCTCAGTGCTTAGCAGAGATCCAGACACACAGTTGGTCCTTGGTAAGTATTTGTTGACTTTGAATAAATCCTATAAAAAGCTCACACGGAGACATCAGCTTGTCACACCTCTTATCACTTCTGCTCCAAAAAGCTCCTTACTAGTAGACCTTAGTAGACCCAGGTCTAGCAGCAGGGGGGCACACAAGAGAGAAGGAATGGCACAAACTCCGAAAGAGGGTTGGATTCAGACCAGGCCTCAAAGCCTGAAGTGACTTACCCTCCCCATGTTGATAATGGGATTCATACGGTGCAGAGTGGGAGAGTGAGCAGAGACAGTGGATTTCAGGGCCTTACAACCCAATGAATTAACCCCTAAGAGAACTCTTCCTTCCCCAAGAGGGGAAAGAAAGGAGAAGAGGAGAGAGGCCTCCCACAGCTGGTGGCTAAAACAGCCGCTCTCACCTCAGTCCATTCGGGGAAGGGGCTACAAAGCAGACAATCTTTATTCACAACTGGGGCAGCAGAGGGGAGGTACCCCCAGGTCAGTCCAAAAGCAGAGACGCTGGGTGGAGCAGATGGAGCAGGGTAGGGACTCAGCACTCGTCCTCTCCCAGTAGGGCATAAGGGTTTCGGGCAGCCAGGCTGGACCCTGGAGCTGAAGTTGGGGTGTCCTCATCCCCTTCCCCCTCCTCATCCGCATCCCGGTCCTCCTCTCCCTCCTCCTCACAGGAGCTGCTCAGCTCTTCTTCTTCCTCCTCCTCCTCGTCACCTGCTGGCCCCACCCTGCCCTGCAAAACCACCAGCTCTGTGGTCTCCGGATGGGACTCCCAGGTGCCTGGGGAACCAAAACAAGAAAGGAAAGTTTTAAGCAAGGAACTAAAGCCAAAGAAAGGTGGGGAAGAGGCAAAGACTAAGAGTAACAATTGGTTTTGCAGCCGCCAGCATTCGCCCGTTCATTCATTCAGACTCCCAGGTGCTAGGCACTGAACAGCAGCTCCGCCTACATGAGCTCTCCACTGCCGCCTGACCAGGGGGCAACTACCACCCTGCCTTTGCGGATCAGGAAACTGTCTCAAAGACGCTTAGGAACACAGAGTTGGCCGACAGGTACAGAATCCAGGCCTGACCCTCGTTCTGTGTGGCCACAAAGCCCACACCCTTCTGCCTACAGTATAGCACAAGAACACTGGCTGTCTGACCTTTCTGTTCACTGTAGCCCGGGGGATGAAAACACAGGCTGAGGCGGCCGTCCAGTGCCAGCCGTAGGAGGCTATTGGCTGCTCTGTACACATCGTTCCGCGCTGCCTTAGCTGTCTTATAACCACGCTTCTCTGCCCAGGCTGGAGAGAGAGAAGACAATAGTGGGGAGGGAAGCCATTAACTGGGCCCAGTCACCACCACCCCATTCCCGTAACACAGCTCTTCCAGTTTTCTCCAAGAACATCCCAGGCCACTGATCTTGCAGGCCCCACGACAGAAATCCAGGCATGAGTAGCCAGGTGCTTCACCAATGGCAGAACCTCTGAGGAGCGGTGAGGAAATAGGGCAGGGTTCAGGGTAAGGGGAGGGGAAACCAGGAACATGGAGCCCACCTTCACAGATGTCCCAGGCACACCAGGGGTGTTCCGCTGAGGGATCCTTGGCCTCTGGGTGGCGCAGGCGGAGCAGGACCTGCACAGGGATTCGAGAGGCCAGGTAGCCCACGGCAGTGTATGGCTCCTGGATTTGGGCAATGGGGTAGATCCCTGCCAGAACCTGAGGGGAAACAAAATGCTCAGTCTGTTCCTGACCTCCTGCCTCTTCTCCCTCCCTGCCCCCTCTGCCCTCATACCTGTAACTGCCTGGGCAGAAGGGATGGGAATATGAGGCCAGGGCAGTCACAGAGCTTCACAGAGGGGGTGAGAAAGTAGGTCTGAAAATATCTGGTGTGGCCAGGAGTTCTGGAGACACTCACAACCTTCCTGCCCACCAGCCCGTTGATCAGAGAGGACTTGCCCACATTGGGGAAACCTAAGGAAGGCAAGAAAAATTAACATTGGACAGTTCCCTACTCTGCAACAGGCAGGATGCAGTACTGTAGCCATAGATAAAAAGGGAAGTAAGGCACAGAAATTAAGGAAGCAATATAACCCTGCAAATTTCAAATCAGACTCTGGGCCACCAGGGCTGAATCCTGGCCTCTCCACTTAACAGTTGTGTAACCTCAAAGCAATTTACTTCATTTTCTGAGCCTCTGTTTCCTCATTTTACAAGTGCAGATACCTTCAAGCTCAAAGTGGTCAGGATTAAATACGACTGTGTGGTTCAGTGCCTGCAGTACACTAAATGCCCAATACAAGCGAGACATGCAGCTCATAATCATCGGAACTTCTCCAGGGAAAAGACTGGAAACCCTTGAGGCTCACTGCCACTCTCTTCAGGACCACCTCCATCACTCTGGGTGACTTTGGTATCTGCACAGGTGGCCTGTTTAGCACCCTGGCCTCTCAGTGCCAGCATCTATCTTCCAAAGGTCATTTCCAACTACCCACTGCCATGGTCATACCCTGGATCTGGTCAATTCACACCTCCAAAATCTCAACTGCAAGCACCACTCTCTGCCCTGATATCCTATCATTCCAGCTCACTTATTCTGTTCCTCAGTTCCAATAAATCTTCACTATTCCATACAGGACTCATGTCCTCACTTCCCTTCTTACCCAACTGAGATACCATGACCCAGCTCTACAGCCAGCCCTTTTCACAGACCATGAACTCCCAAGTCCTGCCCCTCTCCTCCATCTTACTTATTCCCATGGCTCCCATCTCCCAATGCTCTGACACTCTGGCTTGTCCCATAATCACCAAGGTCGCTCCCACATCAAGATCTTTTCATTTACTGATCCCTTGGCCTGGAAGGCCCTTTGCCCCTATCTCCAAATGGCTACTTCCTCTCAACATCCTGGGTTCTTCTCAGAGGGGGCTTTCCATGAGAACCCTCCTCTCTAGGTCACTCTCTACTCCCTTTCATTGCCCCTAAATAATATGATTTCAAATCATGAATCAATTCACTTCCAAGGCAATAAGCTCTGTGAAAGTAGGGACTTTCATGGCAGCTTAATGTGCTCCTGGAACACCCCCTGGCACTTAGTAAATATTTGCCGAAAACTAGAAGTAAATCTAAGCTCAGGACTGCCTGTGCCACAGAAAATGCTCTCCCTTACATAACTCTGAACACAGAGAAATTACTGCAGATGCTTGAAAGAGTGGACACCCCACCTCCCACCCTTGCCAGGGAGAAGCAAGAGGAAAGGACTGGAAAGGGTGCCATCTGTCAGCAGTCAGGTAGGTTGTTCCCAGGACAAAAAGAAGACTAAAGTCAGGAGCGTTTCCAAGGAACCCAACTAACTACTCTACTCTCCTTAATTTGATTCCCCTATCACCTCAGATGCCACAACTTTGCCCAAGTCGCTTCTTACCTCTCCCACCAACAAAGGAAAGAGGCCCTGGGCCCTAATCATACATTCCTTTCTTCCCCACCAAGAGCAGAGACAAGGCTCTTAATTCAGGGAAGATTCTCCTTGACGATAGACTTAAAGGGATAAGTCTCAGAAAGATACTAATGCTAACTAAGCTCCTGCTAGGACTTAGTGATTTCTCTACTACAAATTGATGAATACCATGGAACAGTTAAGACATATGTCATTTAGAACAACGCCTGGTACCTGGTAAGCACCATGTAAATATTAAATTTTAACAATTGTGATTATTACTATTAACACTATTGGTCAGTCATCATAGGCTATCCCTATGCTATTCTCTTCATTCCTCACATCTGTTCTTCTAATTGGGTGTCAGCATCCTCATTCTAAAAATCAAAATAACTAAGACTCAGAGTGAGTAAATAACTTGCTCAAAATCAGTATAGAGCTAAGAAAAGCCTGAATTTAACTCAAGGGTGCCAGGATCTTTCCACTATTGCCGACACTTTCCTTTTCTGAAACTCTGTACTTCAGAGGAGGCCGCCATGCATGGGCCACCACTTCCTTACCCACACAGCCGATGGTCACCACCCCATCTTTGTAGCGCTCCCGGGTTGGGCCGGTCGGCTCCATCGCTGAGTCAGTCTGCTGCTCCACCAGGACTGCAGGTCCATCCTCCTCTTCCTCCTCCTCCCCAGAGCCATTTCCCCAGGTGGCCCCTGCCACATCTCGGGCAATCTTCTCCCGCCAGCTGCTCAAATCCACTGTCAGGGAAGGAGAAGATGAGGAAGGTTCTCCCCAGGGCCCATAGAGTTCTATGCACTGCACAGCTGATCTAACTGGCACCCTCTGGAGTTGGAGAGTGCCAACCTACATGACAGATTCTCCCTAGCCTTCACTTGACCCCACCCAGAAATCATGTGAATTTTTGAGTTCCAGAAAAATACTGGGAAGACTGAAGGCAACAGACCACTGGGGCTCCTGCCTACCTGCTGCCTTTGTTGCCACCAAGTCAGTTTGCTCCCTCTTCTATCCCTCCCCCTGGCTGCTCACCTACATCCATAATAGAAAGGACGAACTTCAGGGAAAGTAAGCAAAATGACTCCAGGCCTTGGGTCACCCCCAAATCCTTCCACAGCTCCCCTCTAAGAGTATATACCTTTCCCTGCAGTGATGGCTTCACAGGCTCTCAGCAACTGCTCTGGCCCCAGGGCCCGAGTCCAACCTCTCCCCCGCCTCCGACTCTTCTTCAAAACTGAGATCAGAGGGCACAAGTGTTAGTGCATGGGCTTATGCACCCCATCTCACCCACCACCCTTAGGCCCAAGATCAGGTACTCCTTTGTCAACGAGGCTCTCTGTTCTCCCTGTTGTCCCCTGCCACCCCACCTCTCCCATGCTGCCTTCTTCATTGCCCACTCACCGCTACTGGGGTCCTCTGGGGTGCGGGGGTCCCGAGGGAAAGAGGTAAAAAGGACTATGTGGAGCTGGGGATAGTGTTGGTGAAAATAATGCTTCCAGGCAACCACGAGAGCCGGTGGGGCTAGATCCACCTTGTTCAGGACCAAGATCAAGGCCAACCCAAGTTCTCCAGTCACGTACTCGTAAAGTGCTGGTGGGAAATTCACAACCTGGGACAGGGTTGGTGAGAGGAGGGAGCAATCAGAGGTCAACGCAGAGTTCTCTGCCTCCAGCTCCCCACTCACCAGGCACCACTCAGAGACAAGATTCTGGTGGTAGCAGATTCTGGGGCAAAAGGGTAAATCAAAACTGAACTAGAAAAATAAAGTAGCAGTAAGCAATACCTGTGCATCTGTCTCTGGGGGACTTCTTACAGGTCCTGATTAGGGATAGAAATGAGCCAAAAACAGGACAAGGAAACAGTGATACCTAGCACACTGGCGTAAAGGTTGGGGTCAGGCATGGGGGTGGGGGTTGGGATAAAACTTAATACCTGTTTTTGTGTGCACACAACGATCTGCATGTATATACATGCACATATACTCATGTACATGTCTGCAGGCTTGTGATGAGCATGTGTGGCTGTGTGAGTGCGTGTGAGCACACACATGTCTGTATGTGCACGAGGGCATGTATACGTGCCGTTAAGGACTTCCAACCTAAATGTCCCCAGAGACCTCTCTTTTTCCCACTAGAGGACAGCAATGGAGTGGCAGAGCCAGGTTAACACAAGGGTTGCCCAGCAGCCAAGTTTAGAGCCTTAACCACTATCCTAGCCTTCCATGTAAGGCTGAGTTCTGTAGTGACTGATGTGGCGGGGCGGGGGAAGCCCCCAGCTGCCTTCACAGAATCCCGGGGAGCACCACACTAGAACTTTCTATTGGTTTAGCTGTGGTGGAATGAAAACGGGATACCTAGTTCTTTATCAAAGGAAGTAAAGAAGAGAGTCTGTTAACCAGAGCAGGAGTGACAAGCTGTGACACTGATGAATGAAGGACTGAGTTCCTCACTGCAGACATCACTATGAGGTAGAGAAGACTAGAAAAGAAAGATACCTCTCCATCTCCCAACTCCTGCCTCTGCCCTTTACCCCATAAGAATCTTCCTCCCCCATCCCCCTTGTCACCCTCATCCCCAGTACTCACTGGATGTCGGGTATCAGTGATAAGCAGAATAATGTCAGACATCTCCAACACACGCCACAGCTGCCTCCATGTCTGAAAAGACAAGATCAGTGGAAGAGTACCTAAGTCCAGAATTCCTCTCCTGACTGACCCCAGACCAACTGGACCAAAGGTCACTATGCCCAACTCCTGTCCCCACTCCATTCTCACCTCCAGATTATGTTCAAAGTAGCTGAGTTTCTCAGAGGTGTAAGCCCCATGAATCTTCCCAAGATACTCCTGGAAGCTCCGTTCCTCCTGGCTCATTAGCTGCTCTTTGGACATCTCATAGCTCCAAGGAGGACGTCGGGGAAAGTCCAGGACTGGGAAGTTAAGAAAAAGTCCAAGTAAGTCTGAGAATAGTTTCAGGGCTCAAGAGTGGATCCCAGACCTCTCACCCCTCACAGTCAGCTTTTCCTCCTCCAACCTCCTTCCCCCAGCCCATTGCCTCTCCCAAACATCCAGGTGTTGAGCTCTCACCTGAGCCAGGCTGATAGACCTCCCGGATGTCCAGCTCCAGCAGCTCAGCACCGCCCGGCTGTAGCACTTGCTCGCGAGCTGCCCTCTTTCTCCTTTCCACCTCCTCGCGGCTATCTCGCTCAAAATGCAGCCGGTATCTAATGGGACAGGGACCGCAGCATTTCTTGCAATCCCGTGGCCACAAACTCCCTTCCGTAGAGCTTTCTCTCCAGAGTTATTCAAGTCTCCTCTCAGTTGACTCTCCCTCCAGTACCTCTCCCGCAACACTCGGCCTTCCCCTAAACCTCGCCCTTTTAAAAGCCAAGAACTCTCTCCAGCCCCTCCGGTAGGGAGGATTGTGGCCCGCTCCGGTGAGCCAGCTGCCTGCGGAGACTCGGCATCCCAGTCCCTCCTCCTCCACCAGCAGCAGCCAGCTTTTCCCCCCAACACTCTCACTTCCGGGTAGGCGGGGATGCCCCGGCCAGCGCCCCCTGCCTGCTCTCACCGATTTGGGTCATAGCTTCGAGGACCCAGCCCCTGGGAAGGCTGCTGGTTGAGCCTGCGGATTTGATGGGTCACAGATTCCCCGTCCGAGGTGTCGGTCTGCTCCTCCCGCCGCTCCCGGCTCCCGCTGCGGCTGTTGGAACTGGATCGCAGCCCATCTTGAAGCCCTGCGGGGAGGAGGCGGTGACGCCAATATGGGACGGCTCTAAGGGGCCGTAAGACCCCCTCCCCGGTCTGTGTGCTTCCCCTCACACCACCCCACTTCTGTTGAGGCCCGATCCTTCCACCATCCTGCCCAAGACCCTACCGGATGTGCGTTGGGGGGGGGAGTCATTCCTCCTCCAGGGACCTGCGGGGATGGCGCCCCGTTGGAGCTGGAGGGATTCCCCTCCCCCAATTCTCCATCCTTTCCCACCCCTTCCAGGGAGACTGGGGTGAGAGAATCCCGATCGTCGGCACGCGGCCAACACCCACTCCTATGCCCCGCAGGGATGCGGCGGGCACACCCCTCCTTCCAGAGGTGCGGGAGCCCGAGCCCCGCCCCCTCCCCTCGCTACCGCACTGACCTCGCTTCCGCTCCCGCTTGTCCTGCAACTGCTTCTTCTTTTGCTTCACGCTGAAGGGCTTCTTTCTCGGCATGGCCTGGACCAGTCACCTGGCCCACCCTCCGCCGAGCTCCCGCCGCCTCAACTGACTCCCCCCCCACCCCCCCGGGCAACCCCCGCCGCAAAGGCCTGGGACCCTAGAGGGGGCGGGGCTATGAGGTGACGTCAGCGGGCGGGCCTGGCCGATTTGCCCCCGCGTTGCCTGGGTGAAGGCGAAGGAAATACGGCCACTTCCTTCTGGGAGCGAGGCAAGACGAGGATGCGGGGTGGGCTACCCGCACGTGAGAGTCAGTGGCACGGAGAGGGCGCAGCAGCTGCGAGGAAGGAGGCGCGCGTGGGAGGATCAAGCTAACTTCGTCACGGACGCTACCAACTCGCGTTCGGAGGAGGGGGGAACGTGTGTCACCACTACCTTGCGCGCTGGGGGGGAAGCTACCACTCACCTGGAGGGGGCGGTGGAGCGGAGGGCGGGTCCTACCACCTGGGAGAAAGAGGAGCGGGGTTGCGCTGAACCTACTCTACCCACCCCCACCCCGGGCTTGACCCTAATGGAAAGACGGCACTGCGCGTCCCAGGAATGAAGTCCAGTTGCTCGTCTACGCTGGGGGCGGGGTCAGACGTCTCGAGGGGCGGGTAGCGGTCTGAAGAGTCCTGGGACCCAAATTCCTTGTGGGAGCGATAAGGAGCAGGTTTACAGATCATAAAGGCAAGCGCAGGCGAGGAAGGAAACCCAGGTGGGACAAGGATTTTTGGAGAGAGGTCAGAGGGCATGAAGTTGTGACTGCAGCCGTTACCATAGTAACCGGGAACCGGATGTGGCGATCTTAAGGGGCGACAGCTCTCTCAGGTCTTCTGGCCCGAGAGCCTATCGACTCTATGGCACACAATGAGGAGCCGGTTGTGGGGTTTTTTTCAGAGAGGGGATAAGAGAGGAATTCTTCAAAGCATTTATAGGAACGCAACAAAAAGAAGGCTTGAGACTGCCTCTGTGCCTGGCAGAGACCGAGGGAGGCGTTTTATGAGAGAATGAGCCGCACAAAAGCTCCTCGGGGCCTTCCGGAAGTGAAATGGCGGGAGCCTCAGCCTCTCCATCCACCCCCCGGAAGCGGAAATAGAATCCCAGCGTGCCCCTTCCTCACTGCCCTCCAAATCCCGCTGCAGCCATTGCCGCAACCACGATGCCGAAACGAAAGAAGCAGAATCAGCAGCAGCCGCCGCCACCGCAGCAGCCCCCGCTGCCAGAGCGGGAAGAGACTGGAGACGAGGAGGATGGGAGTCCTATCGGTGAGGAGCTCGGGAGGGGTGTGCACATGCCTGTCAGCTGGCCGAGGCGAGGGGTTAAGGTCTGAAAAGGTGCGGGGGAGGGGGCTCTAACGGAAGGAGGAAGGGCGCAAGCGCTGGGGCGGGGATAGGAGGCTGTCCGGTGTGGAACCCTGAGCGAGTTCTCTTCCTTGACCCCTCAACTTCGATCCGGCCTCTAACCTTTCTGAAGAAGGCAGGGGAGGAGAAGATAAAGAGCTCGTGTGCGCAGTCGCAGAACGCCAAGGGAGAGGGGGCCCTAGAGAGGTTGCAGATTGCGATGACTAGGATAACAATTTGTTACCAGACTTGCACAGGGAAGGTAGAAGTGCTGCCTTCCCTAAACTACTCTGGGGCGGGGGAGATCGTTCTGATTGGCCAGCAGTTAAAGAGAGGGATTGGATTACTTCTGGAATCACCTGGGATGTTTTGGGTAGCAACTATGTAAGGGAAAGAGATACCCTTCCCGCATTATCTTTTTTTTTTTTTCAAACTAGAAACGCTTTTTTGAGGAAAGGGCAGGGAGATTTGCCTGAGAACTTGTAACACTGCTGAGAATGTATCTGGGTTTACTGATTGAATTAAGAAATGAGTAGTAAAAAAACATAAGAGGATCATCGGTACGTTAGTTCATTCTGATGACTATACTTTCGTATCTACTCTTAGGACCACCCAGTCTTCTGGGCCCTCCCCCCATGGCCAATGGAAAGCCTGGTGACCCCAAGTCAGGTGAGGATGAGGGGATTCTGATTCTTTGATTAGGTCCTGGAGAAGGGAGCAACGGAAGGACTAAAACCCAGGAGGACTTAAAACCAAAAGATCAGGGATTCTGTACAGAAATGAATGGAGAGATGTTATATATTCACAGATTGGAAAGCTCAATGTTACTTATTCCCAAATGTCACTTATTCCCAAATTGATCTATAGATTCAGTGCATTTCCAGTTACAATCCCTATAATGGAAATAAGCATTCTGTGTTATTACATGGAAATGCAAAGGATCAGGCTGAGAGACTGCAAATACAATCTTGAAGTAGGAGGACTTACCCTGAATATCACTATTTACTGTAGACCTATATTAGCTATGGTGTGGTATTGGCACAACAACAGACCTAAAAGTCAATAGCCCGGTACAAAAAGTCCAGTAACAGGCCTGCACATACGTAGACACCTCATTTATGATGAAGATGGAGCTGAAATAGTGGTCATTTCAGTAAATGATGCTGGATTAATTGGATATTCACGGGGGTGGGGGGGGATGAATTCTGACCTCCTATTCATATTGTATGTAAACATCAGCTCCCAGTGAACTGTAGATCTAAGTGTTAAAGGTAAAGAAAAATATTTTCATGGTCTTGGAGGAGATAGGAGTTCCTAAACAGACCAGAAACATTATAAAGATTGATAAACTGAACTACATTAAACTTTTATTAATCAAATGACACCATTAAGAAATTAATAGGAAGTCATAGAGTAGAAAATATTTGCAATAAATAGAACCGATAAAGAGCTTGTATCTAGGATATACACAGGACTCTTTTAGACAACCTGTTAGAAAAATGGGCAAAGTATCAGAACTCTCTCAAAAACAGATCTAAATGACCAAGAACATGTGAACAAGAACTCAGTATCATTAGTTGTTAAATAATCACAAGACGAAAACATAACACTTAAGACCCTTGTGCATGTTGGTGAGATTGTAAAATGGTGCAATTCTGTGGAAAACACTACGGAGTTTCCTCAAAAAAAATTAGAAATAGAACTACCACATGATCCAGCATTCCCACTTCTGGGTATATGTCCAAAAGAATGGAAAGCAGGATCTTGAAGAGATACTTGCACATTCATATTCATAACAGCACTATTCACAATAGCCAAGAAATGGAAGCAACCCAGATGCTCATTGACAGATGAATAAACAAAATATATATATATATATTCATACGACGGAATATTATACAGCCCCCAAAGGAATGGAATCTTGTCACATGCTACAGCATGGACGAACCTTCAAGCCATCTTGCTAAATGAAACAAGCCAATCAAAAAAAGACAAATGTATAATTCCACTTATGAGGTATTTAAAGTAGTCAAATTCATAGAAGCAAAGTAGAATGGTGGTTACTAGGAGCTGGGTGGAGAGGTAGAAGGAGAGTTGTTTAGTAGCTATAGAGTTTCAGTTTTGCAAGATGGAAAAGTTCTAAAGATCTGTTTCACAACAATGAGAATTTACTTCACACTACTAAAACATGCACTTAAAAATAGTTAAGATGGCAAATCTTTGGCACCTGGCTGGCTCATTCGGTAGAGCATGCCACTCTTGATCTCAGGGTTGTGAGGTCGAGCCCCACGTTGGGCATAAAGTTTGCTTTAAAAAAAAAAAAAGACAGCAAATTTTACGTTACATTACATGTACAAATTTAACGTTACATGTTCCACAATTTAAAAAAAAAACCTCTCCAGAATGGCAAAAATGAAAAAAATCGACAATACTAAGTGTTGTCAAGACTATGGAACAATTGCCGGTGGGAGTGTAAATTGGTACAGCCACTTTAAAAAAGAAAGTTTGACTTCATTAAACTTTAGCATACATATACCCTAGGACCCAACAATACCTCTACTACGTTTATACTCAACAGAAATGCATACATATGTGTAACAAAGACATGTATAAAAATGTTCATAGCAGCATTTTTCGTTATAGCCCCAAACTGGAATCCACCCACATGTCCACCATCAGTAGAATGGATAAATAAGTTGTTGTGTGTGCATGCAATGGGATACTACACTGCAATGAAAATGAACGAACTCCTGCTACAGGCAACCTGGATGAATCTCACAAACACGATGTTGAGCGAAAGGAGCCAGACAGAAAAGAATGCAGACTGTATGATTCCATTTATGCGAAGTTCAAAAACAGGCAAAAACTAACCTATGGTGCTAGAAGTCAGGATAGTGGTTACCTTTGGGGAGGAGGGTGGAATAGTGGGATAGGAGGGGCACAAAGGGGGGGAGGAATTGCGAGTACTAAGAAGGCTCTATCCCTTCACCTGGGTGGTAAAAACACAGGTGTGTTTACTTTGATGGTAATTGAGTTGTACACTTAAAACTGGTGTATTTTTCTGTATGTATATTGTACTTCAATAAAAAGTAAAAAAACAAAAACACAGGGCTTCCTTATCCGGATTAAGCTGGCCACTGATCACCTTTCCATGTCTTTCTTTCTCTCTCCTTCTCTCCAGCTCTTCACAGAGGTCCTCCAGGATCAAGGGGACCAATGATTCCACCACTGCTGAGTCTCCCACCTCCTCCCCGGGGCAGAGGCCCAATTCGGGGAGGCCTAGGGCCCAGGTGTGGCCCATATGGTCGTGGTTGGTGGGGGGCCAATACTGAACCTCCTTTTCCTGGACCAGGCCATGGGGGTCCTTCCAGGGGAGGCTTTCACAAAGAGCAGAGAAATCCTCGAAGGCTCAAAAGTTGGTCTCTTATCAAAAATACCTGCCCGCCCAAGGATGGCCCCCAAGTTGTGGAAGGTGAGGTCCATTTTTCAATGCCTATACACATTTAATACCCATCACTCCCAGAATGCCTGTGACTCTACCATTCTAAAATGTCTGGAAATGGCAGGGAGTAGAAAATCTGACTGCCCTCTCTATCTCTGCTTTTTGTTACATTTGTTTCCTTTCTAATATTTTAAACTTACCAGTTTTCACTTGTTTACAGACAAATCCAACCGCCCTGTCTGCCGACACTTTGCCAAAAAGGGCCACTGTCGATATGAGGACCTCTGTGCCTTCTACCACCCAGGCGTCAATGGACCTCCTCTGTGAGACTGTGCCTTCCCATCGAGGCTGGAAGGAGCCCTCTGACCCAGCGGCCATATATTTCCCTGTGGCCCTGTGATGGCTACTGTGAGGCTGTTCCACCCACCACCCTCAGTCAGTGACACCCACCCCCATCCGCCACCTCCCCAATTTGGGGTCCAGAGCTGTGTTTCATCACTGGTGCCCAGTGTGTGGGCTTTCTTCTGATCCAGCCTCCAGAGACTCGCCTTCAGGACCCCATCTTTGCTCCCTTCAACTGCCTCCTGGATCCTCTTCCCCCTCGCCAACTGACTGCTGAACAGGAAACCTCTTTGGTGCTGTTTCTTGTGCATCTGTCCACCCAGCCCCCGGTACTGCCCTCGATTCCTGAGAGCCCTGGAGCAGTTTCCTACCATTCCCTTCTTCTAGCTGCTTGTTTTAAGTCCTTTTTATGTGACAGCCCCTACCCCCGAAGTTGCCAGTTGCTCTGTGAAACTCACCAGGTTGACCTGGGGTCAAGTATGGATGACGGGTGCAGAGTTACTCCCTGAAAGGCCACTCTCCCTGCTTTTGGATTTTGTAGTTTCTACGTCAGTAGCATGATCCCCACCGCTCTGGTCTGTGATCACTGTGCTTTGTGAAACTGTGCATCCCCTCGTACGTAGCCTTTCTCAGTGTCCGTGGCATCTTTGTGACTTCCCAACACTAGAGTAAGTTTTTCTGCCAAAATGAGTGAGGCTCTTGGTGCCCTCTAGACTTTCCGCACCTCCCAACATGGGAGAATTGTGAAACTTTCCACAAGACTGCCTCCCTGGTCTCCCCATTCTCCTGGTGTCGGTTTTTCTGGGTTTGACACAAGCCCATGAGATGTCCTCTGAAGCCTCTGATGGGCTACCCTATTTCCTCTTGAG